AGTATACAGGGGGCAGTGGGGGCATATGGGAACTCTATACTTTCTGCTCAAGTTTTCTGTAAATCAAAATTGCTCTAAAAAATAAAGTGCATGAAATCTAAAAAAAAAAAGTACGTAAACAAAAAACTTACCAGTTTACACTTATCCCAATCCTCAAAGTCACTTGAGAATTCTAACTCTGGATGAAAGAACAAGATAACCCCCATCAGGATGTCATGCACTAGATTTACATTGGCTTCAAAGTCCTGGAATTGTCCAGAAGAGTCTTGAAAAGATTTTGGCTCCATTAGAAGTTTATGATCATAAATCAACAGTGATACGAAGTCTATGGAGTTAAGCAGTCGGATGCTTTCCTGCAGCTCCTGCAGCATGATTCGGAAGAAGATAATTCCTGCCCGCTGGACTTCCCCTACATTTTCAATCTCTGGAAAACAGAATGACCTCTCACATTGTTGTTCAGTCAAATACATTACTTTTTCTTAGCATTCTGAGCATATTATAGTAAACACCTTTTTCCACCACCAGGTATAAGAAGACCAAAGTCTATGGTTTTACACAATCTTAGTTTCTCTTACTCTGAAATCAAAAGGCAGACAATGGAATTACACCTGGTAAAGCTCACAGGAAGGAGCTTTGAGGAAAGGAGAAAATTTGGGTTTTAGAGTTAGACTTCAGTTTGAATACTCCTCTCCCTCTTATGAGTTCTGTCATCTCTCTGAACTGCCTTTTCCTCTTCTGTGAGAATGAGACTGATCTCTGGTGAGTGTGAGAATTAAATGAGATAATACATGTAAAAGTGGTTTGTTTCAGGCCTGACACATAGTGGATGCTCAAGAGACATGAGTTTTCTTCTTATTGCACCCTACACATGGCTGGAAAACTTTCAGCTTAATTCCACATAATGTTACTCTAGTAATTCTATTCACTACATTCTAGGTAGTCAAAAGTTTCCATCCCACCTTCTCCTCTCCCCAGTCCTTGAGCTGGTTTTGTGCTAAGAGTAGCCTACTGGATGTGGAATTACAAGAATTGGGTTCTGGTCTTGGCTCTGGTGTTGCTATTGGACCTTGGACAAACCACTTTACTTTTATGGGTTTTAGTTCTTTATCTGTAAAATTAGATACTTTGACTAGTTAGTGCTGTGTAACATAGTGGAGAGAGCATGATGTTTGGAGTCACCCAAGCCTGGATTCAAATTCAGTCTTCACCACTTGGTAACTGTATAATTTAGAGCAAGTTGTTTGACTTCTCTGAGTTCATTCTTCTAGCCTATAAAGTGGGGTATCACCATTCATCTCATAGGGCTGTGGTGGGGATTAAGTGAAATAACGTATTCAAAGAGCTTGACACATAACGGGGCATTTAATAAATGCTAGGTCTCTATTGCCTGTAAGAGTTCCTCTAGTTCTAAAACTGTACGATTCTAACCAACAGAATGTGACTCTGTACCCTTTGTTCTACTTTATAGACCACAGTCATCAACCCAAGACTGTGTGAGGAAATTCTTTTCACATGGAGAGATCTGTATATTGCAGCAATTCATTTTAGAAAACGCATCCTGCATCGCACTATCTGTGATTTCCCCAAAACCTATTAAACCCGTGAATCCAGATTGTCGCCGCATTTACAATACCTAAGATATATTTTTTCTTTGTCTCTCCAGAGAATTCGCCCAGTATTTCATAGCAGGCAGCTTGGACCACCTTCATCATTTTCTGTAGGTCTTTATATTCTCGATACAACAACATTCTACTCCGGCCAATATTAAAATCTATGACTCCCAGAGCCTCTCCTGTTCTCTCACGAAGTGGAATTACTATGTGGGTTTCTCCACAAGCAGAGGCCAAAACAACTTCTGAACTGTCTGTACACTTAAAGAGGAAATCTCTGAAACCAAAACCAAATAAGCATAAGAATATAAAACATCAGCCCGTTTACACATTCTACCCAAACACATCTTGTACCTACTACACTCCAACCACACTAGCCCTTTGTGCTGTTTCATCTGCCTGGAATGCTCCACCCCTTGATTTCACATGACTCTCTACCTCAGTTCACTCAGGTCTCTGCTCAAATGTCACCTCCCTAGAGAAGCCTCCCCTGACCTCCTAGTCTCATCACCTGAGTCATGCTCCATCCTGATATCCTGCTTTTTTGTCTTTACTGTACTTATACTTATCCAAAAGTGTTCATTTTTTTATTTACTTGTCCAATAAATATTGGTTGCATGCCCGAGGAACAAAGGGTGTGTTAAGTCAGTTTCCCTAGAGGCAGAGCCTGAGACAGGGATTCTTGTGCAAGTGATTTATTGAGCGTGTGCTCTTGGGAGAAGCCTGTAAGGAACTCAAGGGGTGCAGGATAGGGAAAGGGGTGAAGCTAAGCAAGAATGTGCTTTCAAGTGAAGTCTAGCCTCAGCCTGACCCCAAGGGGAAGTCTGGAAGGTAAACTATACCACAGAGTCTGTCCCATCCTGAGGCAAGGGAGAGGAGCTTTTGTAGCCTAGCTCTGGTCAGTCATTGGCTCTAAGTTGCTCTGTACATTTGTGGGGGGGGGGGGGGGGGGGGTTGTTTACCATAACTCCTAGGCATCTCCTGATGAGGGGCTCCGGTGGTGAGCCATTAGCAACCGTACCTGCGGCAGCTGGCAAAAGGAGTACTGGGTATCTGGGCAGGGCACTGACAGCATCTGCTTCAGTGAGGGACCTGAGATTTTCATAGAAACGTAGTGGCTGCTTCTTTTCTAGTGAGGCATGGACACATCTCCTTATTTCTTTCCCATTTACGTTGATATTGAGATGCCATTCCTTTGTGGTACTTATAAAAATGTTGGTGCTTTGCATAGCCTCAGAAAGCACATGTATAGTTAGTTCATAAGATCAATTTTATAATGATAGGCAAGATTATACTTCTGCTATTCCCACGCCTCCCTGCCACTGAGCCATCACTCTGTGTCTAGCAATGACATGTTGTACTAAACTTTCAGGCATAATGAAAAAGCCGATTGATCAACAGAGTTCCTCAAAAGGCTTCTGCTCTAGGTTACACGCAGAAATTCAAGGTTACGAATCTGGGTGTTGTTACACGGACTCCTGTAAAACTGTTCATCAGCACAAAGAATAACTATGTGGAAAAGAGTTTAAAATTACAGTGAACATTTTGGAGTGAGGCCAAGTTAAAATTTAATTAACTTATGTAATTAAACGTCAAATTAGCCTACTAGTCTGATAGCGTTACTGCCTATTCAACTACACTGATTCCCCTAGGAAGCAGTCAGTCAGTCCCTTTTGCAACAGGTGTGTTCTCAGTTAAGATCTGTCTACAGTTTGTCTCGTGAATTCCACAGGTGAGAGTCATTCTAAGGAATCTAGAGCTGGCTCCGTATTAACGACCACATTCTCTGCCTCCTCTCTACTCTTGCCCCCGCCCATCTTTTTTAAAATATAAAGCACACGTTCACAGGCTAGCTAACATTAACAGATGAGCCCTAATAAGTGATATGGCTATATTATTCATAATCATGTCAAGTTTTTGAATTCCATGTTTACAAGAAAATCATAGAAGATAAAACACCATCATGCTTAAAAAATACACAGTTTTAATATAAAAATACCAATGAAATCTGTTTTAAATATAATTTTGGGGAAGAGGAGTTAATATGTCCCACACAGATGACAATCTACAGGAATTTTTCCTTAAAATCCAATCAGAATGAGAGTCAGTGTGCACTAGTAAGAGGCAGAAGCTGTGTCTTTCAGATCTGCTATCACATCAGGGGGATGTGTTTTGGCAGTCAAGCAAAATAGAGAAGTCCCATACCTGAAGATACATGTCTTTCTAAAGATGGTAGGGGGATTGGTGTGGATTTCTGTCAGACCCATGTATCCTGTAACCATCATGTTGCGTAAGACATAGTCTGAATCCTTGAAAAGAGAAAAAGATTTCATTACAGAGAGGATTAATTAGACTTGATATTATCATTAATGCTTTTGGGGACAGATAAGACAAGCATACTTGACAAATTGTAAAGATTATGCCACATTGCCAAACAGGCTCCTAGCTTCTTTCCTCGTTTCTTTCTTCCATGGCTTACTACTTGATGTTACACGTACTAGATAGATTTTTTTAAAAATCTCACTCTAACCGTGTTTCTAGGTTTAAATCTTACAACCAAAACCAAATAATTTACCTTCTGTCTTTTCCCTCAAAAATTATAGACAACTTTTTTTTAAGTTTAGATGACTTTTAGCTTTAAGTACAGTGACATTTTACTTATTAAGTACCGTTAAGAGATGAGGTATTCCACAAGAGGAAATTTTCAAAAAATAAGATTATTATAAAAGCACAAATTTATTTTTATAACTGTGATAAAGTTATATGTTTACATTATTTTCTGATGTTAAAAATGCATTTGTACTACGTATATTTTCACCAAGAAAAAAAATACAGGTCCTCCAAGGTCGAGAAGTGAGAGTGTTGACACACCCTGGGGTTGTTAACCAATGTCATAAAACAATATGTGTACTGACTGTTTAATGAGAAACTATTTGTTCTGTAAACCTTCACCTAAAGTACAATAAAAAAAAAAATTTTAAATGCATTTGTAGAAAATTTGGAAAATACAGAAGACCCAAAGAAAATAAGTATAATAAAAAATGTTCTCCAGTGAGGTCTTTGTTCTCACCACTTCACCAAAAACTGTTCTAGTCAAGGTTACCAGTGACTTTCTCATTTTAAATTGCATTGGTCAGTCCTCAGTCCTATCTTACTCTACCTCTTGGCAGTGTTTGGCACCGTGAACCACGCCCTTCTTGGTAAGACTTTCTTCACCTGGCTTTTGGGACACCACTCTCTCCTGGTTCTCCTCCTACCTCACCAAATGTTCCTTCTCATTCTCCTTGCTACTACTTCTTTATATCCCTCACCTCTAAGAGTTTTTCAAACTGTAGGTCATAACCTGCACATGGGTTGTGAAAATATTTTAATGAGTCTAGACCAACATTTTTTTTTTTTTGGTAGAGACTAGTTTATAGGAAAATAACATATTCTGTAAAATACACTAAACTGTAGGGAAGACAAATTCATTTGGGAGAAGTTTTTATGTCCCCTCCCTTTTTTAAATCTTTGATTGAAAGGGAAACCATGATAATCAGACCCCAAGGGGCTGCATACTGAATGAGTGGCTTGGAAGATGAACTGCTTTGCAATATGAAACTCTCTCTTGCCTTCACACTCCATGAACTCAAGTGCTCTACCAAGCTCATTAGACTAAAAAAAAAAAAAAAATGTTTTCAACAGAATACTTGGCTAACTGTAAAGATTATGACACATTGGCAAACCAACTTCTTGCTTCTCTCCTAGTGTATTTCTTCCATGAGTTGCTACTTGGTGTTAAACATACTAGACTGACCTGATTTTTAAAAATCTCACTCTGACTGTGTTTCTAGGTCTAGATTTTACAGACAAAATCAAATGATTTCTCTCCTGTTTTTCCCCCCAAAACTGTTCAGATTGATCACTTCTGCTTTCAGACCAGAAGCATAATATAGAAAGTATGGCACCCATAATAATATGCCCGAAAATAAGCTTATCTTTCAGCTGTGCCAAGAAACTAAATTCAGCAAGCCCTGAAGCAATTATTCAGTAGTGAGCTAACCACTCTGAGTTAAAGTTTCCTAGGAAACCATTTGGAGAAAAAAAAACTGGAATTATATTTCCCCTATTTTCTTTCTTTTGCTACTGGTTTATTTTTGTTTTTCCCTTACCTTTCCAATATCTATTCCTTCCCACTTTTCTCAATGCTCATTATTTATCTTTAGTGTTTATCCTCTTGCTTTTTTCTGTTTGGATGAACATTTTTTTTTAAGAACAAAATAAAATAGAATAGAAAATATCAGAAAACAACACGTAGTAAAAGTAGATATTGTTTTGTAACATTTCTGTTTCAAATGTCTGTGTGTGTGTGTGTTTCTGCACATGTGGGTCATGGACAATACAATTTTAAACCACACTGATCTCAAATATTTGGAGTGCCCCAGGTCTCAGTCTTCAGATTTCTTTTTCTATTCTTAGTCATTCCCTAGGTGATCCCATCTCGTCTCGTAGTTTTTAGATACCATTTATTCGATAGCCTGGATTTCTCCCTGAACACCAGCCTCATATGCCAAACTGCCTATTTAATATTTCCACTTAGATGTCTAACAGACATTTCAAATTATAATTTAAATTTTTTTTTCAATTTAGTAGGTAAAAAGCTATTTCATTCTTAACTGTGTATTTATTTCATTATGAGAGCAATTGAACATTTTTTCATGTTTATTGACCATTTGCATAAGGCTCTTTTTTTTTGTTAATAGATTGATGTTCTTTGCCTATTTTTATTTTGGAATGCTTGCTTTTCTGTTTCATTAATTTATGTATAATGGTGTTAACCCTTTGGTAGATGTGTGGCAATTTTTCCTCCAGTTTGTCATATGCCATTTAGTTTTATTTATAGCTTTTGATGCAAGAAAGTTTTACATTTTTATACAGTCAATATATCAACCTCTCCTTAATTGTTTCAACCTTTGGTGTAGGTTTAGCAATCTTCCTCTGAGGTTGCAGCAGTCAAGAAATAAAACGATGTACCGCACTGGGTAAATTTGCTGCAAAAGACCTCTTTAAAGTTTTAAAAAGCAAAGATGTCACCTTGATAACTAAGGTGCATCTGACTCAAGAATGGTCTTTGCAATCGCATCATACACTTGTGAAAGTTGGATAATGAAAAACAAAGACAGAAGAAGAACTGATGCATTTGAACTGTGGCGTTGGCAAAAAGTACTGAATATACCATGGACTGCCAAAAGAACGAGCCAACCAGTCTTAGAAGAAATACAACCAAATGTTTAGAACTGAGGATGGCAAGACTTTGACTGACTTACTTTGGTCATGTTATCAGGAAAGACCAATTGCTAGAAAAGGACATCATGTTTGGTAAAGTTGAGGGCCAACAAAAACAAGGGAAATCCTCAATGAGATGGATTGCCACAAGAGTTGCAACAATGGACTCAAACATATCAATGATCATGAAGATGGTGTAGGACCAGGCAACGCTTCTTTCTGTTATACATAAGGTCCCCATGAGTCGGAGTTGACTCAATGACAACTAACAACAACAATTACATGAATTGCAGTATTGTATTTTTCCTCTTCCTGATAATCTTTCCTATCATCTTCCTTCTCATTCAAGCAAAAAGTCCGTACCTGTTCATCGCCTTAGAAGAGGAATGTGATGAGGTGGAAAGCAGAAATAGCCACCTAATCTCTGGCTTTTGTTTTTTCAAAGGTCTACCTTGATATGGCTTAAGGTAGCAAGCCAGGTATACATGCTAGCCACTTGTCACTCTCAAGACCTCAGGGAACCAAGAGACTGAGGTCTTGGTTTCCTTGTTGGCTATTAGCTGGGGGCCTCCATAACCCCCTAGAGGTCTCTCTCAGGTGTTTGCACGTAGCCCCCCTACATCTCAGAACCAGGAATGGGTTGTCGAATCTTTCTCACACTGCCATCTCTCTGACTCTTCTTGTATCAGTCCATCTCTCAGGGACCACAGCCAGGAAAGTTTCTCTGCTTTTAAGGACTCAAGTGATTAGATTGGGTACACCTAGATAATCCAGGATAATCTCCCCATCTCAAGGTCCTTAACCTTACTCACATTTGCAAAGTCCCTTTTGCCATGTAAGGTAACATATTCATAGGTTCTGGGAATTAGGGCATGGGTATGTTTGGGGGCCATTATTCTTCCTACCACAATGACCTATTTAACAAGTTTGGTACTCCAGTGAACTAGTCAGACAAAAGTGCTTTTAGGTGATAAACTAAAATAGCCTGAGTTTCATACCTAAGAGAATTTGAATCTCCTATCTTTCCTCATCTATGGTTATTGTCAACAGAGCAAGAATTCCTTTTCCTCCATGATGCTGCATCATATAGGAACACAGGGATGAGGTGAGGTGGGGTATCTCAGAATGTATTTTACAATTGGTTATCAGCCAGGGTGCCAGAAGGAAACAGATGGCACACTGGAACTGGGTAATTTAGGGAAAGTTTAATAAAGGGAAGTTTATGAAGGTATGGGCAGTGTTTAGAATCCCAGGGCTAGTAACAAGGAGGGCCTGTTACTACACTTAGCTTGAAAAGGCAAGGGGAGGAGGCAATTTCCAGAACCTGGAGAGGATAGCTGTATGGAGAGGGCCACCTGACAGAAGCTGTGATTTTTAGTAGAGGAACACAGTCAGTCCACAGTAACCTGAAAGGGAGGAAGCCAAAAGCATAAATACCCCAACCTCACTCTACTTCTGCCCTCCAATTGCCTGTTGATGTCTCTCATTGGACAAATCCAAGCGCAGTGTAGAGGGCTCAGGGGCCCATTGATACTGTCAACTTTTTGAGGGACAGAGCAAGCAAGAGAAGAATGGAGAGTGGATCTGGAGGGATTGAAGAAGGGGAAAGGGGAGAAGGAGGCTGAGGCATAGAAAGTGACTCTAGTCAACCCTCAGTCATTTTTAATACCAAAACCTCACTGTAGTATCTTCCACCTAGGAGAAACCCCTGCCTACGGCCTTGGACAGATGGTTTAGGCATGACTCCACCCAGACCCCAGTTGCTGAGTAGTCCTCCTCCTTCCCCTCTCCTCCTCCTGGGGATGGTCTTCTTTACCTCCTTTCAATGTCCCAAGGTCAGATGGAAATTGACCCCTGTGGCCTTGTCCTCAGAGCCATGTTTCTAAAACTACTCTCTGCCAAAGAAACTCTTTTTGCAGACTGCTATGGGTGATGATTTTGACCTACACAGTGATGCCATCTCCCTTAAGGGCCCTGACAAGGTGTTTCTTAAGCCTCATGGGGACATTGGCCCCTCCAGCTGAATCCTTCCTGAATCCAGCCC